CATATTACACCCCAGGTAACCTTTATGGCCAATCGGTCTCTTTTTTACGTCTAACTACAACACAAACATACGAATGCTAACAGAAATATGATATTGTATATTCTCATCAATACATGGAGTCATTTTCAAATAATATAATTTCGTCATTACACTAACACTTTTAATTTATTTTTGTAACATACCCATGGAGATGAAAAAATCAACCAGGGATATCAGTTGATAAACGCTTACTTTTTCAAGTCTCGCAGACATCTCCAGATAGTTATTTAAATAACGTTACAATAATGTGACGTAATCTAATCAATAATATGATATCGGGTATAAGGGGAGGTAATGACATTAAAAAGTTATATCTAAAATATGTTTCTTTTATACCCTTTATCCCTTTAGATAAATAGTTTTTTGCACGGTCAATTTTACCGTGTTTTTCATTTATTTTATTCCAGTTGATTACCCCCGGTAAAATATTTATTTTGGATATGTGCTTATCTAAAACCGAAAACGAAAGTACAAAATTAAGGGTATTTCCCAGTAACGCAAATGTAACCTTGACCCTTCACCATGTCACATACCTTCATTAATGGATATCGACAAAAGTATGTATAATCTGCTGGCCAGATTTCAAGGCGGGGGGAGCTAGCCCGTAAGGTGAGTTTGACAACATTATGTTTTTTTTAGAATTTCAGTATGTCTGAGAGCGTTGCAAGACTGAATACATTTGTAAACAGTCCTAAATTGTGTCCAATTACAGAATAAAACATGACAATACCTTATAGGGCTTGGTTATGCGGAAATGTTTTTTGTAATAAAATTGTCTCTAAAGTATATCAAAGGGACAACTTCTGATTATATACATTTATTTTATTTAAATGAATATCTTTCTGGTGTATGTGTTACTACCATACGGTAAATTACTCTTTAAACCTTAATCGATAACTAATTAATAACATTATCAGGAATTGTGGGTATTTTTGGGTTCGTGACTGGTGTTTTCCTTTATTTAATGACTTGTTAGCAAGGCTACTAAGACATGCCATGCCCAATTATCAGGGGTGATAAATACATCGTTCAAGCACATGTCAATGTATCTGATATCAGATATGAATCTCTTAAATAAACTAGAAAAATATATAATGGTTCAATATAAACATAAATTGAAAAGCAGTATTTGCCTGCAACTGAATCGTTTTTTCTCTGCTATAGCAAATGTAAAATTATGTACGTATTTTACTAAAAGTTTCATTATGATTGTTGTCCTCATATAGGACATAACCGGTAAGCAAATTATTTCAATGCCCGGTTAACTATTGTGTTCCGTTAAGGAAAGCCAAACTGAACGTTTTTACAGCTCAACATCATTTATATTGCTCTCTTTCATACACATTATTTCGATTAATTACCATGGAACCTTGACATTTGTTTATAGTATAGTATGATATGTTTCACTTAAGGTGACAATGGGCGTGGATTTGGCAGTGTATCGTTCACGGGTCGGTCAGTTTGTGCCTCGACCAGTGAAGGGTATTGTGTCAAACATTGACTACCTGTGTAAAGCTATCGCCAGTGTTCGGGGTGGCCTGATACGACAAGATGGATTAAACAGCAAGGGGGCTGTTACATTCATTGGTCTCCTCCTGCGTGCACAGGGCATAGAGCCGAACCCAGGTCCAGGACCAGGAAAGGGAGATGAACATGTACGTTGAATTTTATGACTTAAATTACGAAACGTGTGGTATTTGTTCATACAAAACTGAATGAATTTTGTTGAAGCCTGCTATCTCCGGGTATTATTGGATTGCAGATGTACAAATATAATGAACAGTCATTCTCATTCTCTATTGACTTGGTCTAAACAATGCAAAATATTAAGCTTGAAACAATATGTTGACAGAGCTGAAGCAATATCATTTCATTACACATAAAATGTACTTACCAGTCATTTTAAACAGCATTGAAACCAGTCATATTGTTACCCGTAATTTTTCTATATATTTTTGTTGACATGTACTTGTTTCTACATTTTCATTTTTTTTTTAATAAAAAGCTTTCCCTTACAGTCATTTGCAGACGCACAGACGGAAGACAATGACGATATCAACATTACACTCGGTACGTACGACTCCACTCTTCGAATTTTAAAACAGTGATAAGACATTAGACCAGCTGATAGATATTGTGAAAAACTTCTTGATTTTTTTTCTTTTCTGCCAAATACACGCTCAGTTTCATGTTTCTAAAGTATCAGTAATGCAGGGGTTTCATTACACAGACGGGAGAATGTTTCTTGAGAAAAAAAAGTAATATGATTAATACACATATAATAAATAATACATTATACAAGTAAATTATATTTTTGCAATTTTTAAAAGCATCCTTCACGGACGAATGTTGTAAAATTTATAAATATGTATATATAAATCAGCTGGTATCATTAGCAACAACGAAATAAGATTTAAAATCGTTACCATAGATATACACTCAGTATAATTCACGCTCACGATGTGTACGTTTGTTGCGATATATATTCTATATATTGTTTGTCTTAAAAGTTCTCAATGGAGCTTTTGGTTAAATGTTTTTATTTTCCTAGACTAAATGCTCTCTGGACTGCATTTATACAGCGAATAAAGCTAGTATGTAAAAAGGATTACCAAGAGCTAAGTTCTATTTTTGAAAATTCCCTTAATCAACATCGTTATAGGTATCATGTTATTTATACCTGACTCCAACAGTGTTGTAGCAAAGTAAATAATCCACGCGTTACAAGTAAAAATGTATACTGCATTATACTTTAGTACTGTGTTTATCATGGTTTTAAAGTAAAATATGTTGAGATATTCTTAAGAATCTCTACCCTTTTTAAAGGACTCTTATGCACATCAAGTAACAAAACATAGAACATATCAAGTGAAAATTAATGTAATTTGATCGTAAGCCTTGCAATACATCTTAAACAGTTTTTGAATGTGTTTAGTTATTCGATTACAGACAGTAACACTGACCCAAACATGGCTGGCAGGATTAGCCAGTTTATGGAATCTGTTCTACCTGTCAGCAATCCCACCAATACAGGAAGTAGTCAAACAGACGAGTACGCAGTCGCAGTAGCAATACCTGATCCTTTTTCCAGAGCAATTGCCAAAACAACCATTGTACCTCAAGGTAAAGTAATGAAACACTTTTGCAAAACAGTAGATAATGTGGATTCAACATTGGATAGTTAATATCAGAACTGAATTGTTCCATATAACCTATATATATCACAATAAATATCTTGCTGTGCTAATTGTCGAAGATGTAAGATAATGAGTTTTTCAAGTTGAGTTTGTATCCTATTTTCTTTTAATATATATATATTGGACACATCTTTCAGTGGTGGTCAATGTCAATTACCAGGACAACAGAAAATATAATGAAGAGATCCGCGTTGAGAATATGAAAGTGAAAAACGCTGAAAATGTATGCACAGGAGAACAGACTATAATTCATACTGGTTTGTATAGATTCAATCTTGTCTTTTGAGAATACATGGGAATAAAAAAAAATTCAACATTACTGTAAAAAAGGTAAAACAATGTTTCGTGGTAAAGTGATTATCTTTTACAATGTTGATAGTGAATATTTATTTGTGGAATTTATATTCAAGAATAATTTAAATTTGCAAGTGATCTCTTTTTCGTATCTCCGTGCAGATTAATCGCTCGAGAATATAAAGATAGGTACAAAGCTCAATATGTATATAGAACCCATGTAACTATTTAATATTTCATTGTGATGGTTCACCATCGCAACGTCTCAAGATCGACTGCAATGGCTGAGTGAGCGAATGTTTGTATTGTTTACCTATACAACGATGTGACGAAATTGTATATTTCATATGTTACTGAACCCGGGAAGTTTCGCCTATTTATTGAGAATATATACACACTTTGTCGAGTAGGTTACATATGAAATATACAATTTCGTCACTCGATCAGTCATAGTTTGACAAAGGGACAGGCCGGTCTTGAGACGTTGCGACACGTTTAATACGTACATTGACTGTGTATAAAGTAAAACTTTGATATAACCTATTTTTAAAGTAATGAATCTTTTTGAAGGTGATAATAAATTAATGTTTTGGTTTTTATACAGTAGCGCCAACTGGCAATGAGGACGATGGCGTTACCAAACCAAAGAAGAAAAGGGAAGAGGAAAAAGGAGTTCCGAAAAGTCCTGAAAGAAATGCGTCTGAAGGTAACATGTTGTCATTAAAAACATTGGGATGAAGTTCTACTTTTGAAAATTCCCTAAATTAACATTTATATAGGTATCATGTTATTTATATCTGACTCCAACTGTGTTGTAGCAAAGTATTTAAAACAATCCAAGCGTTACAAGTAAAAATGTAAACTGCATTTCATCGTGGCTCTAAAGTAAAATATGCTAAGATATTCTTTAAAATATGAAAGTTAAAAACGCTGTATGCACAGGAGAACAGACCATCATCCATACTGGTTTATATATATGTAGTCTTCAAATAAAACATTTTTCTACATTTCTGTAAAAGAAAAATGTAACAATTTGTATTTGATTGCAATCGTTTTCAATATTATCGTTGAGCGCCAGTGAACTATTACTGAGTAAGAAGCGGGTTTTTTTGTAATGATTCGTCGTTGTTGATAACATTCATATTATTGTAACCGATAAACAAAAGGGATAATTATAAGAAAATAATAATGGCAAATTTACAAATCAGCACCGACGAAGGATAAGACTGTATAGGCGATTGGATATGAGTTTTCTTTTTCTTTCAGGCCAGACCGCTGATAATGAAGACGAGGACATTCCAAAACAGAGGAAGAAAAGTGACAAAAGAATTCTGCTTGAAGGTAAAATCAAATAAATATAGATGTATCTAACAAATAACCCTTCATCACAATTCTTTTTCTGATGGTAGTTGAGTAGAGTCAATAAACGTCCATCACAATTAATTTTTTATCTGATGTTAGATGTGTCGAGTAAGTATTCTTTTTTCCCAGGTCATGTGATAGTCGTTGGTCAGAGTAAATGAAATTTCGTCACAAGTCTTCATCTGATGGTATTTGTTTCGAGTTAAGAAGCATTCATCACAATTTTCTCTTTTTCTGATGGTAGTTGAGTAGAGTGAATAATCGTTCACCACAATTAAGTCTTTATTAGGTCACTTGAGACAAAGTCTCAAGTCACCTACTGCGATCGCCTTTTGTCATGCGTCGTCCGTCGTGCGTCCGTAAACAATTCTCATGTTCGACTTCTTCTCTAAAACCCCTGAACCAATTTCAATGAAATTTTGCAGAAAACTGTCATGGCCGAAGGTCAACCAAATCTGTGAATTTAATGGTCCCCAGCCTCCAGGGGTTTCAAAATTCTTCTTTTCAAGATCCATATATGGTACAATCAGCATTTGATTAATTTCCATTGGAATTAATTCAAACTTGGTTAGCATTATCAGTATTGGATAGCAGTTTGATGATATGCACAAATCAGCCCTGATTGACCTCCAGTGGTTGATGAGTGGGGCCAGATTGAATGGTCTTAATGTGCTTTACCAAAATTTTGAATTTCATGACCCTGGGCTTTAACGTTTCCCTGTGGGGAGGGGGTAAACTTTATTATAGTTTATATAGGGAAATCACATTTTGGACCAACATTTGTTTAATTTCCATTGGAATTAATTCAAACTTTGAAAGCATTATCAGTATTGGATAAAAGTTTGATGATATGCACAAATCAGCCCTGGCTGACCCCCAGGGGCTGATGGATGGGGCCAAAATGGATCGAATTGACTGAAATTTCAAAATCTTCTCCTCAAGACTCAGATATTGTACCATCAAATACTCTTCATAGAAGGATGGGTCTTAAGGTGCTTTACCAAGATGGTGATTTTCATGACCCTGGGCTCTATTTTTTCCCTCCGGGGAGGGGGTAAACTTTACCATGGTTTATATAGGGAAATCATATTTTGGACCAGCATTTGCTTAATTTCCATTGGAATTAATTCAAACCTGGTTAGCATTATCAGTATTGGATAGCAGTTTGATGATATGCATAAATCAGCCCTGACTGACCCCCAGGGGTTGATGGGTGGGGCCAGAATGAATGGTCTTACTGTCAGGTGCTTTACCAAAATTTCGAATTTCATGACCCTGGGGTCTCAGGTTTCCCCCTGGAGAGGGGGTCAATTTTAATATAAGGTAATTGTGAACTATATGGTCCCCAGCCCCCAGGGGCCTGAGGGGCAGGTCCAAAAATGGTCAAATTGACCAAAGTTCCAAAAATGTTCTTTCAAGTTCCAGATATGGTAGAATCAAATATGTTTCATAGATGGAAGGGTCCTAATGTGTTTTACCAAAATTCAGCTGACTGACAGAACCACTTTGTGTACATAGTACATATACTACCAAGATCTTCCACACTACTTTTGCATTACATGTAGTTCAAGTTACCTTTGATTGTTACAAAATGATTCCTTTTTCATTTGCCATTACATCGATAACATCAGTTTTTACATAACCCATGGGCCTCTTGTCTGTTGTTAGATGTGTCGAGTAAATATACTTTTGTCCCAAATCTTCATATGATGGTCGTTGTTTAGAGTAAGTGAAATTTCGTCACAAGTTTTTATCTGATGGTATTTGTGTCGAGTTTAGAACATTCATTACAATTTCGTCTTTATCTGATGAAAGGTGTGTCTAGTATACAACCATTCATCACAAATCTTCATCTGATGGTAAGTGTGACGAGTAACGAAAACTGCATCACAAGTCTTTATCTGATGATAGTTGTGTCAAATAAATAACCATTCATCGCAAACATTCAGCTTGACGGTAGTTGTGTCGAGTAAATTCCCCTGCGTCACAATTATTTATACTTTGCGGTCTTTAAGACACAAACCATTGGCAGATGTGATAAATACTGCAGAATAGAAGATTTTAGACATTTTTCTTACGCAAGATCTGTCTAATCCTTAGCAACAACGACCTTTACTAAGCGCCTTCCCGATGTGCTTGTTCGTTATGACAGAAATAACCTAATACGTCAAGATATTGTTCCACTTTTGATTCAACAATCTCTACTAATGTCCTGGAAATATTGCATCTTATTGCTAAAATATCTTTGATCCCTTGTTACGAGTACACATTTTGACCGTATCAACGTTTGAAAATAAAACCTCGATACCTGAACATCATTTTATAAAATTGCGTTGAGCAACTTTACATCAACAGAACACAAAAGGCAAAATAAGGTTCTCTGTGTTTGACTTGCATGCATTAAGCTACTTTGTAATTATATTATTAATACAGGAATACATATGTAATCGTATTAAAACAAATATTTGTGAAATTCCATTTCAATTTATTTCCAGAAAATACTGAAGTAATGTTAAAACGACACATCGAGGAAACAGCCAATTTACTGGTGGCTAGGAAGGGAGCTGTAGCAGCAGTAGTCAAGCGTCTGAAGGACTACAACATGGTGGTCATAGCTGGCGTCACGGGAGAGGGAAAGACAACTCTGGGTAGGGAAATATGTAAACAGTTGAGAGACGGTACACTTGACAAAGATATCAAACCCAAAACACCCGTCCTCATGACTATTTCCCAAGACTGGAATGATGTCGTGACTGACAAAGATGATATCGTTGTGTTTGTAGATGACATATTCGGGAAGACAAATTATCAAACTGGGCTTCTGAATGGTTGGAAACCATTCTTTGATAGAATACTAGATTGTTTACTGGAGAAAAATGTTTGTTTGGTTATAACATCTCGCACGCATATACTTAAAGATGCCAGACGGGAATCGGGGGTATTACCTGAAATGACCAGTGACCACATTCTTTCCGAAAAGAAAACCGTAGATTTGACAGATGACCAGAAATTGACTTCGGGTGAACGTTTAGACATTTACAAGAATCATTCTCGTCAGAGACAAGTTGACAAGGATGTCCTGTCTAGCGTGTTTCTTCCGGTTTTCGCTGTTCATGGTTTTCCATCAAATATTTCTTTAGGTTTTGCTCAGATTTGCAAGCTTTTCTTCACCAATGATATATTTTTTGAGAAAGGTGAACAGTTTTTTATGAAACCTGATAGAATTCTTACAGAAGAAATAGTGAGAATGAAGTCCACAGAGCCACACAAATACTTTGCTTTGGTATATTGTTTCTTAAACGATGCAGCTGTCGATGTTAAAAAGCTGAATAGATTGAAAATGTCAACACAAGATTATGACACTTTGAAACTCTATGCAGAAGTTTGTGGCGTCCCTCAGACCGACAACGTATTGACTCTGCTTAAAAACGGACTAGACGCTCTGGATCGTACATATCTTACGAAACAAAACACGGCGTTTGCATTTGGGCATCAATCAACTGCAGACAGTGTTAGTATTGTATTTGGAAAAGAAAATCCAGAATTGATTCTTGAAAAATGTAGCAACCGCGTGATATTGGAACTGCTGGATGTTTCTGAAACTGATCAAACAGACATGTGTACCTTGCATGTTCCTACTGATTGCTTTGGACACCTTGTAAAGCGAATTTACAAGATGATTATTGAAGGGAACATTTTCGATGGAATAACGCTAGAATCATTCCCCCGGTTTCGAAATCAAGAGCTTGCAGATCATCTCTTCGAGTATATCAACAAAAGTGGAGACATGCAAGCTTTCCATAGAGCTCATTTAGGTGATGACTTTTCTTCCGCGAAAAGTCTATTAGAATCTTGTGCGAACAATGTTTTCTTCTTAAAGTCTCTTTTCAAATTCAATGTTGACGAGTTCATTGTCAGGGAAAGCGGTATTTTGTTCTTTACGAGAACATTACAGAGAACATTACGGCGTTCACTGGAACATAAAAACAGGGCTTCCACGTCATTTCTGCTTGAAAATGGGGCATTCTTAACTGAGAAATATCTTCATATGGCAATTGGTTCACAAGATGTGGCTCTAGCCGAGTTAGTATTGCCAAGGAATATCTGGACAAAATCAGAAGTCAGTGAGCACATTGACGACAAAACACCAGATCATATTCGTGAAATGCTACAAAAATGTACGAACATGTGCAAGGTAAACATGATACGAAATCGGTATCTTCAACAGAAAACTTACGTAAACACGAAAGATATCAACCTCTCAAGTATGAGTACCAAAGAGATGAAGACTGCCGCTGAAGAAATGGATTTTGACACGCTACATACGATTTTTCAGTCCCCGGAGTTAAAAGATCATCATTATCGTCTGATCAAAGCAATACTTGACACAAAACACAAGAGGTTAAGTGACGCTATTGCCATAAAAAAAATGGCTGGAAAAATCGACGGGGCAGTTGTCCAATATGCGTTACATCATTGTGACTTGGACATGTTTCGGTTCTTGCTTTTCTCATCAAATGTTAATGAAGCACAGTTGACATCAATGCTCTCTGAAGCCATCCATCTGAACAAAACGGACCAAATAGAAATTCTTATCAAAGTTGGTGGACAACCATCCCTGGACGACTTCATTAGGAAGGCAGGGATAGTGTGTATGGGTGTCGAGCGTGTTGTTGAAACCATCATTAACACAACATCTTGGACACGTGCACAACTTGGTCGTGTTCTTGACGCAGCCGTGCGCACTGGTACACATGCTACTATAAAAGTCCTTTTCAAAGATGGAACAGGGTTTGCGGAAGATGCGTTGGTTAATGTATCTAAAAGGGAGTATGATCGACATCATAAGTGTACAGACACTCTTACTCCCGATCAAGTGCTTCTGCAGACTATTATGAACTATATTCCATATATGGAAGAAGAACGTGTTCCTAAACCAGTTGCATATGTTTTTTCGAAAAACGAATGGTCCGAAAGTCAAATTACTGAAGCAATGAATGCTGCATTAGATTCGGGGTCATTCGACACCGTCCAGTTTCTGAAACAGAAAGGGGGACATTTTCACAGTGAGGCTTTATTAGCAGCTGTTAGAAGGCCCTGTGAGAGACTGAAAATCGTAACGTTTGTAAAAGAGTCTAGAGAATGGTCAGTTGACCAGCTGAGCGATGCACTTCACGAGGCTATAGTCATTTGTAGGCCGGACGTTATTATATACTTGAACGAACAAGGAGCATTGTTCAATGATTCGAGTCTTCTAAATGTTCTTCGTTGGAAGGTTGCACATCATGTTCAGATCAAACTCATGAATCATATTATAAAAGCTCGTTCTTGGTCACGGATGCTGCTCAACGAAGCCACTCATTTTGCATGTGAAACAAATGGCCTTTCAATACTAGCAATCCTTAATGCTGTGGAGAGCATATCAGAAGCTCCGACCAGAGATGTTCTTCTAAAATTGCAAGAGATCGAGCAGTTTAAGAAGATGGTTGTTGAGGTGTTTAAAGACAATGGAATGGGTGATGATCTATCTTTAGTCTTAAATAAAGAAATTCGAGAAGGTTGCACAGACATTGTTGAGCATCTTATTGGCGAGCTGGGGATTTCCTGTGACAACGATGGCTTATCGAATTCCATGGACAACAACCGAAACTATCAAAGCTACGATAGACTAAAAATGGTCCGTCTGGTGCGGGAATCGCAAGACTGGTCCGATGAGTTGCTGACGAGGGCGTTAGACAAAGCTGTTAGACTGGGGTACAGCGAGGTGATATTGTACCTACATACCCACGGGGCCAATTTCGGTGACAACAGTTTGGAGTACGGAACGATGAATAAAAATATAGGATACGATCCATATGATCTTGTAACTTATATAATGGAATCACGTCACTACAACAAAGAACAAATAAACAATGCACTGACAAAATCTTTAGAGGTTGGTCATTATCAACTCATGACAATGTTTCATGAAAAGGGAGCAGAGTTCGCCGATAAAAGCCTACAAAACGCAATCCATAAAAAATGGATACCCTCAGATCGACTTCCAGCAGTCCAATTCATACTTAATGCAAGACGATGGGACACTGATGAAAAGAACGATGCGTTATTCAGTGCTGTAAAGCTAGGGGATATACGCGTAATTGCACGTCTTCTCAAATGTGGAGGGGAGGTGTCGAAACAATGCTTGACCGAAATTCTTGAAAAGAAATGCAAACCGTCACATCGCCTCTGTATCGTAAGGCTCCTGCTCTCTAGTTCCGGTTCGCTGTCGCCGGAGCTTCTTGAAGAGGCGGGGGAAAGGGTTAGACAACTGTCAGAGCCCAAACTCGAGGCTTACATCAAGCAATGTAACAAGTAGGGAAACTACGTTACCCTGCCAACTTTTGAATTTTGGAAAATGTTTCAGATCAAGAAAAACAACAGTTTATCAAAAAGCATGTATGAGTATGACGATGATATGATAACATGTAATATAAGAAAGACAATCAACGAATTTGATAATATTACTGCAGAGTCCTGTCAATCCAGATGTCAATTATCCGCTCGCTCTACTTTGAAGGTAGAGTTTTTGGGTAAGGATTGACATTTTATTTTTACGATTGTTCCAGTTATTCAGTCATTTGTGCCGGGAACATCAGCAGCTAGATCACACATGTTCCGATGTATAAATAGGGCATCAGCGATATGTATAATTCGGATTGCCAGACAATAATTGTACTAAGTTATGAAGGTGACACTACAAAATGCCTCATTAGTATGTCATAACGCTAGTGTTAAATGGATGACTAGACAGTTTTACTAGGAATGTATGACGGAAGTAAAGAATCAAGATAACAGATCAACATGACTGATTAGGATGTTTTGACAATTAGTATTGTATTATAATTTTAAATCTGAAATGTCAGAATTTCGGACAGCAGGAAAAAACCAATATGTGTAAACACGTGACAACTAAAATGACGGTACAGTATAACGGTATGTTATTATAAGGTAGCCGGAAAATGTGTTAATTCGTTTGTGCCCAGATGAGAGTGAATGTGACGTAGTTGGTAGTATACTTATGTATATGTTGAGGTTATAATGTGCTATTATTTTAACCCTACTACTTTTATTTTGGTGTACATAACATTGGTGCAGGCAGGTTTTTTTTATTGAATAAGGGTACAATATAATAAAATGAACGCTTACTGAGTAATGTTATATACAATCACAAGGCAAACGTGTGTATCATTTTTATGCTAAGCTAGGGAGTCTCTTTTCCTTCATTCTTTCTTACTTTTTCATATCTTCTCTCAAACTCCAAATCATTCATTCTTTCATTCCCATTCATTACAATAATAATAATATTTGATTAGATCGAAATGGTATATTGAATTACCCAAACCATTCTTTCTGTTCATATTGAAATATTGACAGTATATTTATATTTTTAAATCCATTTATATGCCAAAATCCTGCTTTATTGATTTGAGATCGCCATAATTTGCTCAAATTAAAACAAGATAAACCGAATTTATGCTACTGAAAAAACCACAATTATGTGTAATTTGGAATAACTCAACAAGAATGTGTGGGGGAATAAATAATGTACAAATACGAATGTATCTACCGATTTAAACCTTTATACATACACAAAAATATAAACAGTGTAAAATCGTGTGAAAATTAACTACATGCAATGTATTTATAAATAAAGTAAACACACATTCGAGATGATGAAAATATTACACGAGTCATGCAAACCAAACATAATTGTACACACATACACTCACATACAGGTACAAACTACTACATATTATATAAGTACATCCAACACACATACACACATACACACCTACACCCTTGCATGCCTGACAGCATATATATATATTGCAAAAATTCTTTACATATACTGTAAATTCACTACTTTAAGTGTACTCCTATTTTTTGAAATCTAGCATGTTTCAATTCTACATGCATTAATCATATAATTATTTTGTATAGCATTTATTTAATATAATGATAATGATAATTCAGCGATTTTGAAAAATAACAACGGAGAGATTACCAAGGTGGTAATAAACTTGTTTACAGTATAGGTACATGGTTATATTTAAACCAACATTCAGATATCTTTTCCTTGTACAATTTTGCAAGCATTTGATGTGGATCAATGAATTTTCGCCAATATTTTACAAAAGGACAAATACGTCCTATATGTACATTGTTGACGTGTGTATGAGTAGGTATCAGTTGTGCATTTGAATTTAAACTTGACTTTATTCGCTATTAAAAGCGAAAATATAAATATCACCAAATCTTTACGGTACACAGTATTAAGTTGCTTTGTTGCCTCTCGTTGATGTTGTTTGTGCCTGAATGGAAACGCTATACTCGCCACTTCTGCTTATAATAGTGATAGAAATAAAACAATACTGGGCCCTGTAGCATGTCCTATGTAATAGCAATGGAATGCGACACGTTGATGTAATAGTTTTAGGAACATTTTAGCTCCTAGCTCCATCAACAGTGATAACTTTGTATATTTTGTGGGCTAAGTGGAGGGGTGTTTCCATTTTTCATTTTTCTACGTGAGCAACGGGCTTTCAAAAGCAGGCATTGATCTTTAAACTGAGAAGATCAGTTTTGACTTTCTGATGACGTATTTGTAATTTGTCATTTTTTTGTATAATATAATTAAATGTACATTGTACGTAGTATTAGCTCTGAACAATATAATCTAATGTTGTTGGTTTAGCTTTAATATAATTTCAATGGCTTTATAATAATTTATATTTGTATACATATTCCTTTTTATTTATTTATTTTGTTATTGATAACAAAGCATGCAATGCTTCGTAAGGTTAGGTTGTCGTATATATAAAGATTTGTTGGCGATGACGTTAGGTGATAAACATATAACTTCCGTGAGTAAATAATAACGTGAATTTTCTTCAAAATAGACATTGAATACCAACAAAAGTCATGTTCAGGAAATATTAAAACGATATGCTAGTGTACTAAAATCTTCTAACAAATCACATGTAGACATTAGAGCCTGTGGATTAAGTTCTCTAAATGTATTTTATTTCGTTTTCTACACTTTTTTGTATTTAATGTAAATATATAAACTTGTCTGGCGAAGCGACTTTGTATTATTTAATTTTCTGTACAAAATGAATCGTGTTATAAAAAATTGTTAACGTGGTATCTTCAATTGATAATCGTTAAGACTTTGACGGAAATATCTGTTATCCCAACCTCACAGCAAAATTGGCGTCAAAGCTGAAAGTGACGATTTTTTATTTGGTCCCGCACAGTTATGTTACTATTTTTGCATCACCACCCGGTGATATATTCGATGCCAAATAATCAGCTGTTTATCTAAAATGTTGTATTAATAAGATCTATAAATAATATTCTAAAATATTATCTTTATTCGGGCTAATAGCGAAAAGCAGATGATTCGCCATTATTGACCTTCCAATTTGTATACACAAATGATTGATGTTAAGGATCCCTGTTCCACTGCACTATGGTTTTTCCTATATACAGTACCCCCTCCCCTTAACTTTCGTTTGGATATAACAGTCGGGCTATGAACCTTCCGATGACCAGGTAACTAAACTGGTCAGAGGGAAGGTATATATAATAGTCTTAACTATTTCATCCTTATTAATTCTCATAAAAGACCTGTAAGGTATGGTTTTCTTTCTAGAAATGATTTAACAAAGCTATAGTCATGCCGGAAAAACAAGTTTCCAATACTTAGTTACAGTTTTGGCAGTGGTACGGGGATCTTTAGGAAAAGAGTTGTGTTGTTCAATTATACAAGCTTTATATAGGACACCCGTTAAACGTTTATATAACGTCATGCATTCTAGAAAGGACACATTTTGCATTTCCTTTGAATGGGTTTTGTCCAGATTGTACATCGGATTATTTATGCAAATGTGATTTGGTAATATAATTATCGGTTTGCATATATAATTTTCAATACGAAGTAAGAAATAATCGTTTGAATGAATCATTGTATTTCTTAGTATGATATGTAGTAGTTTGACATTTGCTGTAATGTTTCAAAACTATAATTAACAAGAAGTAGGTATGTAGGTATGATTCATGCAAATGTAATTATGTAAAAGATTATCTTCGGTATAAAAATAGAAAATTCAAGGAGAACGAATCAAACCAAGGTAAGTTATTGTTCTAAATCGCCATTGTCCTAGATCAAGAATAAACAATAAATACCTTACAATATACCATAGCATCAATACACAAGAACAAAATCCAAAATTCCGGGACTTGAGGAGACATCGAATCAAAACGAAAAGCATCATACAACTCACACATTCTAGAAGCGACATCAAATGATCAAAGAGCGTTTTCTACACAAAATACAAATCCTATGTTATGTTAATTTAACATAACGTGTTAAGGTAAAATAAATATCTTAGTAGGTGAGACTTAATTTAGGTATAATCACCGATATTTCCAGCTCAGAGTTAGAAATAAAGATAAAACAACACCGACAGGTGTTAAACTTAAAGTGAAGTACAAATCATTTGCTAAGTAATTTATTGGTAAATATGACATATCTAGTTATAAAATCCTAATGCTAAAACATACTCTGAGTAGCGAAGTAAAATTGATTGTTTTAATTGTAAATGGAAGAAAATATTAAGTTTACTTCATCTTGTCTGTGATTCACAGTTAAGTTTGGTATTGGTTTATACTCAAGGACATAATATCGTCAATAAATCATCAGGTACAAGGGTTCCGCTTCGATACAAGTGTAAATACACCAAGCTTCAAAGTCGGTCATGTTTACTGTTACGCTGCTGCGAGATTCATCTGATCTTCATTTAAGACATAGGACTAGTCTACTTGTATTATCCACAAGGTGCCGCATAATGTCTTTAATTTTGAAAATATATATTGCAGGGGTACAGAAAAAAATAAACGTATTGACGGCTGAACCCTTTGATTTCGCGGATGTCAAAACGTATGAATGTGAAATAAATATAGATATCGATTTTACACTAAAATGGAAACCCCCATACACTGCCATTAAATAAAAAGATATTTGCTTACTAATAAACGTTGATCTTTTTTTCATAGGGAGATTCTTTTTACAGACCAATATATGCTTGAATCAAATATACTTAATGAAAGGAAAGGAAAAACTGTAGAATTCATTACTCCCGGGTTACACATCCTCGTCCCGTCCAGGAGTGGAGGTTAAGTTTACTATAGTGTATATTAGTGGGAAACACTGTGTTGTATAGTTTGTCTATATTCAATGGGAAATAGTTCAAACTTGGTTGGAATTATTATCAAAGAATGCAATCTTAAGGTATGAAAGCTAACACCAGGATTTACCCCTCGGGCTTGAGGGGCGGGGTACCAGTATAGGGTTAAATTGACTAAAATGACAACATTGAACCGAATTCTCTTCATGAATGCAAAGAACTTAAGATGCTTTATCAAATTTTTGAATTTCATAACCTCTTTGGAGAAGATAGAACGTCGTATATTATAATGAATTACTTGATTATTTCAGTTTTTCCAAAAAAATCCCGGCTACACTTATTGGTCAACCCCCAATATCATTTTGTCAGGGAAACCGTCATCAAAATGACACATGAGGGGCCTTTAGGGAGCTATTCGTTTATGTCACATCATCACAACAACTACACTATCATATTACACCCCAGGTGACCTTTATGGCCAATCGGTCTCTTGTTTACGTCTTACTACAACACAAACATACGAATGCTAACAGAAATATGTTATTGTATATTCCCATCAATGCCA